ATTGCAAACCATTTAGCTATAATTTGAAGAAGAAAAAATGCACATTAGGCCTAATGTCTGAAGTGGGCAAGAGGCAATAGGCCTAATGATCATTTAAAATATAATTTGAAGAAGTGTTTCTTTCACAAAATTAGTATTGTATATATAACTATAAAATATAGGCTACTCAATTTTTCTCCCTTTTTACCAGGCACTCATGTCACTTCCATTTCTTTCGGGATAAATGAAGGAATTCACGTGTTGTAGATCAGTCCGTAGGCCTATAGCGCACATAGCCCCTAAATTTAGTGATCAACTATGCATATTATAAACTTAACATTTAACGTACAACATTTTTTTTCTATTAAACGATTTTGTCTTTGTTACTCTTATAAAGGATGGTACAGCATTTTTGAATGATTGTCTTCATGAGTTTGCCTGCATCCATCAGTCTGTAGGCCTATAGCGCACATAGCCCCTAAATTTAGTGATCAACTATGCATATTATAAACTTAACATTTAACGTACAACATTTTTTTCTATTAAATGATTTTGTCTTTGTTGCTCTTAGTTATAAAGGATGGAAGCACAGCATTTTTGAATGATTGTCTCCATGAGTTTGAATGCAAAGACTCGAGACTTACTTGTGACTTGCAAAACAATGACTTGGTCCCACCTCTGCATGACAGTTCTTCAAAAAAGCATCATGTTGGATAAATGGTGTTAAACTTGTATCATTGTTTAATTTTGTTCACAAAAATTATCTGTAAGAAGAAAAAAAAGTTTCAGAACATTATTATTTCCTGTTGCAGTGTGTGAAAAATCAACTTTTTGGGCCTTTCCTAAAACTAGCTTCTAGAATAAAAGGGAAAGTCTTTGAAATTTAAAAACATAGTTAACATTAGTATAACAATGCTAATTAGATCATTCCAGACCTGACTTAATCTTATTTTTTTGTTTTTTTAACCACTGTGCAGCTTGAGGAATGCAAATGGTTTGACTGCAGCAGATCTGGCCCATGCTCAAGGCTTCCATGATTGCACTCAGCTCCTCTCTAATGCACACAACCAGCTAAATCAGACAAATGGATTTGCCCATAATGGGACCGACCACTCGCACATCCAGGGCCGCAGTCTTCTGAATGGGATGGCCAATAGAAAAAGATTACTTGATTGCACAGAGCCAAACCAAATGAAAAAAGCAAGAACTGAGAGTAAGTCTGTTTTGTAGTGCATTTAATCACATGTGTTTGTGCACAAAACCAACACTAAATCAAGGGAAAAAATATTTTTCTGACTATATTGCTTGTTTTCCATTCAGGCATGAATTTTTCAGTGAAGACAAACAATGAAATTGGAGAGGAGCTTGAGAGTATGAATGTGGAATCAACTGCTGAAACCCAATCAGGTGGGACTGGACCTTCTCCACCAATGTCAATTGACCTTGAACATCATGAGGACAGTGTTTCTTTGAGGAACCCCTCTCCCACCCAAAAATTGTTGGAGCCCACATCTATGACTTCTGTTCCTGGCCCCTGGCTATGGACAAATTCTTACGCTTATTTATGAGGGCCAAGTTATCCACAAGTTTCCCCAGGTTTATCAACAAGCTGTCAATGCAAATGATTTGGCTAGTATATTTTTATTGGATTTTTTCAGTCTGCTGAAACTTCTGCAATCTATTATTTTCAAAGTATGCACAAACCTGACTTAAATAACAGACTTTTCCAGTACTTGCAAAGACACACCAGCTAAAAAATGATACAGAAATACATGTATTGGAGTTGCTAGTTTTCTTTGCGTTATTTCCATGAACCTTTGCCATATAATCTGTATAGGGTTATTCTGAATCAGTTTTGTAAAAGTAGCTTACTGTTAGCTTAATATAGTACAGTTGGCTTGTATGTAATAGTTATATTTTTTGATTCCTCCAGCAATATATTTCACAATGAAAGCATTAACTGATTTTAGGATATTTCATGAAGATGTCCTATTTACAAATGAATGAATGCATTGGTTAATATTTTACGAAGTAATTGTGCTTCTATACTTTTATATAAACTATTTTAAAGATATTTAAAGATTTCATGTGTAATCTTGTTTATTTGAAACACTGAAGCGTCTTTTAGGCTATTTGACTTATTTGATGATGGTTATGGTTTCTAAATAACCATAACCATATGGTTTCTTTTTTCTTATTGCTGACTTTTGCAGTTAGGTGTTTAAACTCTCCCTTGTGACCATTTGGAAGAGTACACTCTGTGTGTTGACATGCAATAATAGATAATTAAAAACAAGATGATATACTGTACACTTGAAGTATGAGCGAAAAAGTTCTCATACTGAAAATGAAATGCAGTTTATCAATCGACAAGAATGTATTGGGTACAAATGTTTTGTTTCTCTGGTCTGGCTCAAGTTCTTGTGTAATCAAGACCATTTGCTCATCACTTTCTGACGCATGTCTTGTTTTGAATGACAGATGAAGCCATAGCCACAGGTTTGAGGAATGGTCATGGGCAGCAGAACAGTTTCACTGTCAACAGCTTCGCCACAAATGGGCAGTGCTATCAGTCCCAATTCAGTGGGGTTGAGACCATCCCAGCTGAGTCAAGAATGGACATGTGCGGCTCACTGCACCTCAGTGGCAGCCCAAGCAGCTGTGTATCTCACCGGCCTGCATGGGGTGCCTTCCTGCCTGACTCCGGTGAGCATCTGCACTATGGACACTACCATGGCTTCGGAGATACGGCAGAGGACCTGGAAGATGCTAGCAGCTGTCAGGAGCACAGCACGATCGTGAAGGTGGAGCAGCACTACGACCAAGAGGTTCTCAGTGCTGTGCAGCTGTTCCATGGATCCTAAAGTGAAAATGAGTTCCGTCCATTTGATGACAAGTGGTCACATTGATGGCAGCACTATCCGCCTTAAACTGAGGGGTTATCTTGCACCTCAACGCAGGCTGTTTTGTTTTTGGATTTTGGGAATTTGTTTTTGATAAAAGTGGACAATCTTTCTACCAAAGGGAAAAAATTGTATTGCATTTTGTATCTGAGCTAATGACTTTATTTTATTATACGTACGTGTTTGAACTCAGCCTAGTTATCTGGGTGCATTTCTTTTTCCTCTTTAGTGCAATGTTAGAATGTTAATTTGTACAAGGAGTTGATTTTTATGTGAATTAACTTGAGTTTGTAGTTTTGTGCCAATGAATACTAGCTTTTTGAAAAAGGAGTGTTTTGTATGATTGTATTCTTGTGAGTTTTTTCCTGAGAAGCAAAGCTGACATGCTGACTGTAAAACAGTGTTTTTAAAAAAAAAAAAAAAAGCTTAAGATGTATAACATTCCTTCATCTTTGTACCCTGTGTTCTAATAAAAAATAAAACTCAAGAAGCTCCTTTCATTGCCACCTGAAGACAGTTCTCCTATACAGTATAGCTGATTCGTATTAAGTAAAGATGTATTAATGTCTGTTCATTTTGAAAGTAAAAGTGTTAAAAGTTTCTCAGTTTTTCTTACATCTACTTAAGCACACTTTAGCTGATGATGATGATGATAGATACTTTATTGATCCCCGAGGGGAAATTCAGGTATCCAGTAGCAACATTAAAACAGACAACAAAGCATGCATAAAAAAGTTAACCTTGAGTACAAATTAAAAATCAAAAGAGTACATGTACAGAATAAACATAAGTGCATGAATGGAAATACTAGCGTTAGATGCTGGGTACCAGCATCAAATATGCAAATATACAGAGATGTTTACGATGTGCAAATATGTAATACAATACACTATAAAGATAGTAGGAGTCAAAATCCAGGTATTTAAAATGTGTAAAAATGTAATAAAAATACTATAATGATATGAGTCCAGTACAAAGATAAAAATATATAGATGACATGGGACATAAAAGACAGCACTGCTCTCCAATTCTGTGTCCATCAATCTAGAAAGTCCATTAGCAAAAATTCTGCTCACAGGGAAGAGTTGAAGAGCCCTATAGCCTGAGGGACAAACGACTTCCTCAGTCTGTCTGTAGAGCAGGCCAGGGACAACAGCCTGTCACTGAAAGAGCTCCATGTGTGTGTGCAGGGTATGTGCATACTTTTTAAAAGTTGCTTTGTTTTGAAGTACATCATGCCATGTCTGAAATAAAGACAGGTCGTGGCGCACAACAAAAGATGAAATTTGATAAGCAAACTGTTCCCATGGGAATCTGATACGCCCACCTCGGTTTCCTGTCTCACGTGTTTGGACACACGGGGGTCGCTTGTCTTTTGCGTCGACCTTTACTGCGAGGCCTGAAACGTCATTAGCGCTCCGCCTGTAACACATGGATCTTCGATTTAATGCCTCGAAAAGGGGACGGGGCAGCATTTTTAACACATGTAACTGCTACTAAACACAACAGCATACATATATTGAATTAAGTCACAAATATTACATCTGTAGATGATTTAAATGGTACGAGTTATTTTTAATGGCAATGTACATTATTAACTTAGTTCCAAATATGGCTAATAATTTTCCACCCCCACAAGTATGACAGTGGTATCGTCTGTATTCAGTGTTGAAATCCTCCAAGCAGAGCCGAAAAGCAAATTTCGTGTCGAGGACCTTTCGAGAGAAGGGTGAAGGCGCATATTGTAAATTGTACAATAGAAATTTATAACTGACACTTGTACAGTTTTAGCAATGTCTACTCCAGCACGAAGGCGACTGATGAGGGATTTTAAAAGGTAATTCATGAAAAAAAGAAAAGAAAAGAGCTGTTGTTTACTGAGCCCGGATGTACCTTAAAAAGACCTGAATGTGAAGAAACATTAGAAGGGAACTATTTTGATTGCAGGAAATGTAAAAAAGCTCATGTCGTATCGGCCAGTTTTCATTTTAGTAAAACTGCAGATCTGTTATATGTATTTTAAAAGGAAAGTTATTTGTTTTGTTTATTTGGACCTTTCTAAATCTAATCTGGCTCCCTTATTTGTTTTGAAACAAACACACCAGACTTCAAGAGGATCCTCCAGCTGGTGTTAGCGGTGCTCCGTCAGAAAACAATATCATGGTATGGAATGCAGTGATATTTGGGTAAGTACTTCTTGTGAGCATGTTTGTGCTGTGGACTAAACCATGTTTAGCATCTTTCCAGGTTCCCGTTTCTTTATTCTGAAACACTTCATATGGCATAAAACCGTCCTTTGGTGCTTGTCTTGACTAGTCTACCTGTGTGTTTTCAAGCACTGAAACTAAAAGCTAAAGGTGGCATTATTGTGGTTATCCAAAATGTGACCACTTTTCATTCTTGTTTTCACAGGCCAGAAGGAACTCCCTTTGAAGATGGTAAATATAAACATTACTTCTTGAGGTCCATAAGTTCTAGTAATTTAAGACATGTATTTTGTATTCATGCTTTAAGCCTGTTTTTGTTATAGGTACATTCAAATTGACTGTAGAATTCACAGAAGAATACCCAAACAAACCACCCACAGTCAGATTCATCTCAAAAATGTTTCATCCTAATGGTAAGATTTAGTTTTTTGTATGTTGTCATTCACAATCATTTAATATGGCATTTTTTATGGCATATGGCATTCTTGACATGACTTAAGGGAATAGTTCACCCCAAAATGAATATTTGCTGAAAATGTACTCACCCTCAAGCCATCCAAGATGTAGCTAGATTAATTTGTTTCTTCTAGGAACAGATTTGGAGAAATTTAGCATTACTTCACTTGCTAACCAAGTGGATCCTCTGCAGTGAATGGATGCCGTCAGAATGACAGTTCAGACAATAATCCACAAGGAATCCACATGAGTCCAGTCCATAAATTAATGTATTTTCTTTTGAAGTGAATAGTTGTGTGTTTGTAAGAACAAATCCATCATAAAGTTGTTTTACCTTCAAACCTTTGCTTCTGCCAAAATATAAGTCCTTTATTGATAATATGGCTTCCTCCAGTGAAAAAGTTGTCTCATCAGAATCAGGAGAGAAATATGCACAGATCAAGTGCAGTTTACAAGAAAAAACAGTTCTATATAAACATGTTGGTGGATTTTGACATGAAAGGACAACAGGGGATGGACTTTTTCACTAGTTTGAATTATGGACTTGTATTTTAGTCTGAGGCAGTGGGTTGAAGTTAACACCTTGACAGATTTGTTACAAGCACGCAGCTGTTTGCTTCATAAGCCATTAACTGATAGACTGGAGTCATGTGGATTATATTTTTATGAACTGTTTTGACTCTCATTCTGATGGCACCCATTCACTGCAGAGGATCCATGGGAGAGCAAGTGATGTCAAACTACATTTCTCCAAATGTGTTCCTATTAAGAAACAAAATAAAGTATATTAAGCAAATTTTCATTTTTGGGTGAACTATTCCATTAACAACGTCTTTCTTTCAATTATATTATAGTATATGCAGATGGAAGCATATGTCTTGACATACTACAAAATCGTTGGAGTCCAACTTATGATGTGTCATCAATTCTTACCTCAATCCAGGTAAAATATTGCTTTTTACCATTATAAGTATAAAAGTAAATCAGAACGCAGCTTGACTAGCTTGTTTTCCTGTTGGTTTTCCCCCAGTCTTTGCTTGATGAACCAAACCCTAACAGTCCAGCTAATAGCCAAGCAGCTCAACTTTACCAGGAGAACAAACGGGAGTATGAGAAGCATGTGTCCGCTATTGTTGAGCAGAGCTGGAGGGACAGCTGACCATACACTGCAGAGCATAGAACTTTGTGTGATTGTAGTTTAGTTGAGTGAATTGTGAGGAAGTTTTTTCTCTTTTTTTCCCCCCTCTCTGTCTCACACACCACTCTCATACGTTCTAATGCTCTTTAATGAAAATCCGTCCTTTTTCCCTTGGAGAACTTGTGCTCAGCCAATATCACCTGGTCATTTTCTGTTCAAAAAGTGACAGACATGGTGTCAGCCCAGAAACCTGGACTAAATTATGATATATCCAAGGGCCATTTTTTTTTCCAATCAGAATTGAATGGACAAGGTGCCAGCCTGCCATCCTTGGACTATCCATGTCCCAATTGGAACTGATGATCCTGTTATGCTGTTTTTGTGTGTGTTCTGTTACATGCCTGAAAGTGTGGTTTTTTTTTTTTCATTCCATGTGTTATTGATTGCCTCGTGTACTATATTATAATAATACACTTTGAATTTCGTGTACAGGATCTGAGTATAATTAGTCTGTTGTCTTTTTGTTTATTTGTTTTAATATGGTCCGGAAAAAAAAAAGATTTTATCAAAACAAGAATGGTAATTTTAACCACAGAAGAAAAAACATTTTGTTAAATGTCTAAAGGGCAGTACATTTTTCAAACACATTTATTTTAAGGTTTTTATAATAAGATACACTCATACACTAGCTACATGCATGACTGACAATGAAAGCTCATTCACATAAACAATACAACATATCACATGACCAAAGATTCATTTATGTTTCATAAGAAATATCCATTTAAATTAAATGCTCTTTAAACAAAACAATAGAAAATCATTTCTGCTTCTCAGAGAGCAGCTGAGTTCAAGTCCTTAGATTGAACGAGCCCCCAGATAAGACGGAAAACAAAGTATAAATCCATATGATCAGTTGTTTGAGGTCAGCCAATATGTTATATGCCCTCTCCTTTTTTGCTTTTTCCAAGGCTTTGTCCATGGTTTTCTCTGTGTCTCCCCTACATTTTGGACAATACCACTTCCCTTTGGGTTTGTGATTAAGCCCAACACATGAGAAATGGAACCATTCAATTGGACATTCATCATTATCACACCCGATCATCTGCCCAAATGACACCTGCTCACACAGGCAGTAAGTAGGCTCATTCGGATCAATAGGTATATCTGTATGTGACTGCTCTGTGTCAGCTTTGGCTTTAGACCTCTTCTTTTTCTTTGAGGTTTTATTCCGCTTCTCCCTGACAATGCTGCTGGTCTCTTCATCATGGTGAACTGTAGAGATGTTCTCCTGAGTGTCAATATTACTGTTTTTCTGACGTCTGGCGCTCTTGTTTGCTCCAGAAAGTCTTTCTATTGAACCTCTTTTCGTTTCTCCTCCTCTCTTCTCTTGCTGGGAATAACGGAAGATATGGTAGTAGCTGTCATGCTTTCTTGGGGTTCATGTTGGGTTTCTAGAAGCTCAGCAAGACTGTCCACTTGCCGCCTACGATTCTCCACCATCTGACTAGCAAGTTGGATCTTCTCATCACCCAGTTCCTGACTTTGGATAAGGGCTCTTTGGATACAGTGTAGCAAGCACCTTCGCCGGATGGGGTCCTCTTCATGGCAGTGTTTCTCATATGCCTCGTCTAACTCTTTGAGGAGTTCTGAAATTACACTAAAATATTTATTGTGAATATAATTTAATATTCTGACTTCTGATATGTGTGGTCACATTAGCAAAACTGCACAGGCAAAGAAAAAAAGCTCCATTGCCTATTGCCAATAGAGTAGATATGTATGAAGCACAGCTCATATATAAGCTACTTTATATTCAAGCAAACTTTCTGTTGTTCAAAGCAGTGAATTAGATTGGATTCCAACTGAAATGACAAAAATTTGTCGAACACAAATTAAGATAAATTTAATGAAACTTGAGAGGGTTCCGTCCCTCCAAAACTAAGATCCAAAAACGCCATAAAAGGTGCCACAAAATTAATCCGTTGTGAATAAAAGCCTAATTTAAATCTGTTCATCATATAAAGCAACGATATCTCTTCAAAAGATTTGTGTTAAACTGCCTGATTTATAAGGATTTATTTTACAGTGCCTTAATGACCTTTTTTGGATCTTGTAGGTTGTGGTTACCTACTTTAATGGATGGACATAAATCTCTCAGGTTTCATTAAAATATCTTATGTGTTTTGAAAATTAACCAAAGTATTATGGGTTTGAAACAACATGGGTAAGTAATTTATGACAGAATTTCCATTTTTGGGTAAACTATTATTGCAATACTGCACAGCTTCAAATGTACTTAACCTTGAAGTTTATCTTTCAGTATGAAATTTGGCTCCAACGGCTGGTAAACACCAATCCCTATTTAAAAATAGCAAATCAAGATATGCCCACGTAATATTCAAAAACCAATCACACTCTAAAAACTCGCCCGAATGCGACCTAAATGGGCGGACTTAATATGAATTGACAGTTTCGTCCACCAACTGCAGCGCTTTCAAGCCAGTAATATTTCCCACACAAAACCAATCCAAAACCAAATAAGGTGGAGCATGTGTGCTACCGTTATGAAACAGTTGTGTACATCGCACGCTTATTTCTATCCTACTAAATCCAATGAGCTTGCATAGCCTACTTCATCTGACAACAACAACAAAATAAATAATACATAGGCTATCAATATAGCAAAAGGACTCCCCATGTACACATACTGTGCTGCCGTGACTTGTTTTTTTTTTTCCTACTCATACTGTGCTTTTCACAATTGTTCCACTCGGGATTATAGTGTCACCTGTACACAGAGTGGATTTCTGGATCCACTGGAAACGGCTGAAAGGACAAAAACATTCTGGTTGTAAGCAGAGAAACGCACATGAGAGAACGTATCGAAGATATTATCTGTGTCGTTGATTTTGTTACATTATGCGGTAAGTTGTGCACAGCGAGTGGCACTTGTAAACATTTTCGTGTAGCTCTCGCCGATGGTGGAGCGTAGGCCTATTTCTTGTGTCACATGCGAACTCCTCCCACTTAGTCTCATCACTAAAAAGCATTAGGCTACAAGAATAATGTTACTAAATTGTGTTACCGAATTCGTTATTTGGAGTACTGCAGTAACTTTTAGTTTTTCAGGTTAGTGTCATGTTAAGGGGTGAATTCCAAACAGAAGTGAGCATCCCTATCAAACTCCGGTCCTGGAGGGCCACTGTCCTGGAGAGATCCAACCAGCTCCAAAACACCTGTCTGGAAGGTTTTAGTAATACTGAAGACCTTGATTAGCTGGTTGTGTTTTTAATTAGGCTTGGGGCTAAACTCTGCAGGATTAGTGGTCTTCAAGGGCAGAGCTTTGAAGGGTGTAGGACATTGTTGTCTTGTGTAAACGTTTGGACCTCCCTTAGTGAAGGAACTGACTGACCAACGCCTTGTGAGTGTGCAGCCTCCAGCACTACATCAGTTGTTGCACATAAATATTTATTCATTAAAGTGTCTAATTGTGTCTTATTTCAAATTACTGCAGATAGTCCCATTTAGATTAAATTTTTTTTCCTACAAACTAAACTTGCTTACACTTAAGCTTCTTCGTTCATATTTCTATCACTGACAAAAATATTTTGTATTACAAAATAAAGACAAATTGAATTATTCTACTTACATTTTGCTTCAAAATGCATTGCGAGAACTTGTAACCCATGATCACAAACGGAAATCACTTCCTTGAAGAGACCATTGTTTCCCTTCACTGATTGACTTTTGGGCCGTTAGCTCGTGAAGGGATTCGGTTGTTCACTTTCATTTGAAAAGTCCCTACAAATGGCATCCCCTTCCCGAAGTGCTTTTCAATGGCACAAAAAAAGCTTTATGGAATCCGCTTATTGTTATTTGCCTTGCTTTTGAGTGCGTGGCCATGAGCGGGAAGTTGGAAAGGCAACCATTTTTTGACGAAAAGTTTACGTATCAGTATATGAATTTTGAAAAAGGACCAAAATCAGAAGTGGTGCTTCACTATATATGAAATAATGGATGATTTGACGAAGTGAGCAAATCATACTATGGAATTCCAAGAAGTACGATATAATAAAAGAAAAACATGTGATGAGTTTGATTATGAACAAACATTCAATAGAAATAGAACCAGGAATATAAGGCAAGGTATGGTGAGCAATGGTGGAGAAGGAGAAATCAAAGTTATGATCAAGTTTATAAAACAAGCACATACATCCTGTCAAATGATCAAAAGTGTTAAAAAGAAATAGGGACAGTGAAACGGGCAGCCTATCTAGGTAATGGAAGAGTCTTGATTAAGTGTTATGTTGAGAACAAAAAGCAAAGGTTCTAAAAGCCATTTGTTAAGTCTGAAAAAGTGTGGGGTAATGTATCTTAATGTGTCTATGGAGAAAATAAAAGGAAACTTGTTTGGAGGTCAGAAGTTGCTCCAGCTAAAAACTGATGACAGAATAATCAAAACTGTCATAATTTTTCTGTGTAGATACATTTTGAAGACAGTAATCTACCTTTAAAGGTGAGGTTATGTTTAATAAATTTCTTGTTATGGGAATATGCACCCCACCTTTGCGTTGTTATGTCAGCACATAGGACACACTGTTGCTGTTTGTGAGGGAAAAGGTGATGTTCAAGATGTGGAGGAGAGCATGAGTATGGGAAATGTCAAACTGACCTGAAGTGTTGCGGTTGCGGAGGAGAGCATAGCGCTGCGTATGGAGGATGTCCCCAATAACAGCAGGCTCATGAAATCTAAAAGGTAGAGTCCGCACCAAACTTTTTCCGAAACATTTTCCAAAGCATCTTGTCGAGTGAAACATAGAAGCAAAAGTGCAGAATAAACAGGCAAATAGCTCTTAAAGCAATTAATCAGATGAACTCTTCAAGAAATTAATAATCAGATTCAGACAGTATCAAAATAATGAACCTTTTGAGCACATGTACAATTCGCCGCTCAGTACGGTAGGTGGCGAAAGTGCTCCTAAAGAGTAGGTTGCCATTTAACAAGTAATAGTAGAAGAACAACCCACTGCAAAACAGCCGAGATAGAGAGAGATCTGTGTATCAATGTGACAGTGTGGTGGTGTTTTGAGACTCTTACCAGTAGCTGAACTTTGACACTGAAAAGAAACAGATCGTGTAACGTTAGACACATCGAGGACGTTAGACTATGAACAGATGGCTAAATCTACACGTCATTAATCCAAATCGGAAAACACGCTAAAATCTGTAGAGATATTAATCGTCAAGGTTATGCAACATCTTTATTACTATTATAACCACCAAATGCAGTAAGATAAAAATGAGGCTTCCTTTAGCATTGGTTGCAAATGTAAGACTGCTTAATTCTGGCTTAAGAATCAGGCATTCGATTCATAATGGTGTTATAAAAACGTCATTGCTGTCCAGTCATAATATATGCAGCAGAGCGGAGAGAAAGTGGATAAAACCAGCGGGGTTTGACACCGGTGTGAAGACTTACAACAGTCTCACCAAGCAGAAAGAA